AAGGATTCAATTCATCCTTCATTGTTTTAATCCCAAAGATCATAGATCTAGTTGTACTCAGTGACTTTAGGCTAATCTCCTTGGTTGGTTGCTTATATAAGATCTTACAAAAATTCAATCAAAAAGAATTAAAAAGGTGTTGCTAGGGGTGATTGATCAAACTCAAAGTGCATTTTTGGGAGGAAGAAACATATTGCATAATGTCATGGCAGCAAATGAGGTCCTAAATGAGGCAAAAAGGAAAAAAAAACAAATGCCTATTTTTTAAAGTTCATTGCAAAAAATGTACAATTCTGTTAATTGAGATTTCCTCATCTATATCTTGAAAGGCTAGGTTTCTGCAAAAAATGGAGAGATTAGGTCTATGAGGGTCTTATTATAGAGCATGTTTTAGTCCTTGTCAACGATAGTCCAACAGTTGAATTTAGTGTCCAAAAGGGTTTAAGATAGGGTGATCTGTTAGCCTTGTTCCTATTCATTGTTGTAGTAGAAAGACTTAGTGAATTGATGAGGGCAACAGTGGGAAAAAATCAGTATGCAAGTTTTATAGAGTGGGTGAAAAACATGTTAAAGTGGTTTCTTACAATATGTGAATGACACGGTATTTTTAGGTGAAACTAGTATGAATAATGTGGTAACAATTAAATGCATTCTTCGATGTTTTGAACTATTTTTGGTTTAAAAAATTAACATTTTCAAGAGCAAGTTTAGGGCAATTGGAATGGAAACAAGTGTGTTAGAGATATTCATTAATCTATTAAATTACAAATATTCATTACCCTTTACATACTTAGGTATTTCGATTGGCACAAACCAAGGAAGGAAGAGACATAGAAGCCCATGATTTCTAAGTTCAAAAAGAAATTATCTTCATGGAAGAACAAGGTTATCTCTATGGCTAGGAGAGTATGTTTGATTAATTTAGTTTTAGCTACTCTACCCTTATACTTCATTTCTTTTTTCAAGATACCTAGTAATGTGGTGAGGAAGATAATAATCATTCAAAGAAACTTCTTATGGGGATTGATGAGGGGAAGGAGGAAGATCCTATGGATAAACTAGGAGGAAATTTGTTGTACAAAAAATTATAGGGGGCCCTTTTAGGAAAGTGAAGATGGATCTTTTTCATCAAAATAACACCTTGTGGAGGGGGAGAATCCTAGATTCCAAATACAGGGGTTGGCAAAATCCATATGGCGGAGAGGTTAGTAATTCAACCTCTATTTGGTGGAAAGACTTGAAAAAGGTTTGTGGGAGGAAAGATCAAACACAATGGTTTAAAACAAATGTAAAGTGGAAAATAGGAAAAGGAAATCAAGCAAGATTTTGACTAGATAACTGATAGGGAAAATGTTTGGCAGTGTCACACCCAAGGCTCTTATGCCTCACATGGCTTACTTAAAAATTATGCATGGTCCACATTATTTATAAAACGACATATTATTCTAGGTTTTGTTGATCTTGCTCCAAATATTTTATAAAAAAATAGTGTTCTTAGGAGGTTTAACAAATTTTAAGAGTAAATTAATTAATAATTGTTACAATGCTTAAAACTCCTTGAAATTTTTATTTGATTCTAAAGGAATGACGTACTAGATAATGTCTCATTCTTTTTGTCAAAGTCACAAAATTAAAATAGAAACATACAAAGGCGACAACAACCATATAGTGAAAATAAGATTAGGAACAACTAATTCATAAAGTAATCTTTATGATACAAAAAGGCTAAAACAAGATTAGGAACTCCTCCATACCTTAAGTTCTTGAGCACTAAAGTACCAAATGAGGGAGGATTCCAACACTAGTGTTTGTTTAGGCCTCAGTAGCAACCAATATAAAAATGGAAAGAAATTTATTTTAGCTTAAGAGAAGAGGAATAACACATTTTTTATAAGGAAAATAACAGTATAATGGAGCCTTCTATTGTTCCTACCTTGGTATTCTCTAGAAATGGCTTTGAGAAAACATATGGGCTAGGTTAAGAGTTAATAAACACAAGCTCCCTTCCTCTCTTTATAGCTCACTAAAGCCAAATGATAAATAAAGCCTTTGAGTCTAATCTTTTAACCTTTTTGCATAGGCCATTAAGAGGTGGCATGATTGGGGTATATTAATTGGCCAATGAGTTTGAAAATATCCTAAGGATATAAGGGTGTGAAATAAAAAAATTGTGAACATTTGAGACTAGAAGTGCACGAGTAATCAATGTCCTCTTTAGGTTAATTTGCTTTTGAAATTCTCACCAAATATGATTAAAGTATGTGATGGAACCACTTGGAGAAGATTGTTGTTCTTCAAGTTGAACCGTCCAAGATCTTTCTACTCTTGAGGTGACACGTTAAGAAGCTTGAATCCACCTTGAAGAAACTCCAATGGTGAAGGACGCTTGAAGGAGGTTCGACCACTTCAATGGAGGATGAAGAAGCTTGAGGCACCAAGGCAAAGGTTGAAGAACCTTTGAGAGAAACCTTAGAGAGAGAGTTCTCTACGGTTTTTAGGACTCTTGAGTGAGAGAGAAATCTGATTTCTATTTCTCAAAATGTTCAAAAGTGATTACAAGAGTATAAATTACAAATATATAGGGAGAGGTAGCTTAAAGAGCAAGCTAACCTTAACCATGGTTCACTAGGAACCATGGTAAGATTAAGCTTGACCGTCCATGGTTTGTAAAGCTTGGAAAGCAAGCTAACCTTGACCATGGTTCACTAAAGAACCATGGTAAGGTCGGCCTAACCACCCAAGATTTACAAACTTGGAGAGCAAGCTTCAAAGTTAGGAAGAAAATGAACAAAAATTCGGCCAAGAATGAAGGAAGAGACTAGGCGGCCTTGACTCCATTTTGCTACCTTGATTTATTTCAAAATTGTTGATTTGGTTTAGTTAGGTTCATCCTATGATGATGAGACCTAACTAAATCAAATCTATGAAAAATTAGGAGCAAAATGAGTTTAATATGTAAAATTTTGTCTAGACCCAACTCTGACCCAATTTCTAATCATACTCCCAAGCATTGCTAAATGCCACCTCTTTTTTCCTACTGAAAAAATACAAAATGAATGTATCAACAAAGGAGGTTAAATGAGGTTAAACTCTCCAAGTAACCTACCCTAAAATCAATATACAATGACTAATAAAAACAAGTAAAGTGTCTCACAAATACAAAGGCAAAAATAAGTTTATACATAGAGACTACTATATGTACAAACATATGAAAAGGTCTTTAAGATCATCTCATTCCTCTTGGTTCTTTTAAGATATCACCTCTTGGATTCCTTGGCCTTGGCATGGTTCTATCAGTATGTCAGACAAAAGTGGAAAATTTGGTTTTACTAGAATAAGTAAATTCTATGTTAATTAACATACGTAATAGTGCTAATTACATAGAGTTTTGTATAATTCAAATTAACTCTACACAATATTAATTCACATAATGTAAATTTGTACAGTTCAAACTTTTTACACAGTGTAGTTAAATTTTGATGTAATTGAGCTATATTGTAAAATTTGCAAAAGACTACATAAAATAACAAACATGTATTCTAATTTTATTTATAGATTTAAATCTTCACCCAAATATAAGCTTTGGCCTCTACAAATGTATTAATAAACTTGGTAAAAATGATGACATTGTAGACAATAATCACATGCATTTTCTACTGTATATAAGGGTGAGAGGTAGATTTGGCATTCCTACAATAGTGATAGTAAGGGTTAAAATGGATTCTGGTAAGTGAGGAACTTCTTAAGTCTTAACTTCACTTATAAATTTAATGAATATTTAATTATTTTGTGTAAATAATAATATTAAATTATCAAGGCATTGTATAAGAAGTGCATTATAACTAAGTGGTGGAAGATGTATGGAGGAAATACACCATAATTGAAAATTCTCGCCATTAACATGTTAAGCTTGACTTGTAACTTATCAGATTGCCAAGTGTAAATGGAGTACCTTTGAGCATGTAAGTTAATGACAATGTATTTATGTGCAATTGAAATGAGCAATTTAAATTTGAGTTTACCATTTAAAATGGAAACTTAACTAGCATTCATGTTTTTAAAAATTATTATAGATTCACTCAAGGAAAAGAAGTAGGCTTGAGCACCAAAAGCTTGAAGACTTGGTTTTTATTAAATATAATCAAGCTTTTTCAAGAATGTTTTCAGTGCTGGAATGTAATTGATCCTATTATTTTAAATGATATTGATGATAACAATGAATGTTGGGAGATTTGGATGAAGATGGTGATGCTAAAAATAAGTTAGTTTTTGATGATAATGTTTTGACTTAGACAGATAAAGCTAATGTAATTAGGGCTGGTGAACTTTTGAAATACACTAGAAGACAAACAAAAGTGAAAAAGGTAACAACAATTGCATCTACATCTTGGAAATAAAAACAAAAATAAAAGTGATGGAAGTAGAAGAAGAAAATGATTTAGATGAAAATGAAGTAGAGGAGGAATATAACGATGAATTATATTTGAAGAAAAATAAGACTTTAATCTCAACGATAAAGAAATTTAAAATTTAATATTTACTTTTTAGTTACTTAGAGCTTTACCTATGCTATAAATGATTTAAGCTTTTAAATAGTTTATTTTCTAGATATTTTATGTTATGTTTTGTTTAAGTACTATGAACTTTTATTATTAACAATGAATAATGCATGAATCTAGTGTTATTTTTTCATTCAATATTCATTTTCATCAAGAATAAATTTTAATTTCTTAAAGAAGTGGGTGTCTTGTTCTGTTCTAATCTTAAAACAGAAAAAATAAAAAAAATAAAAAAATTACAGTTTCTTTTATTCACACACATAAAGAATTAGAATGGTTAATAAAAAGCATACTTGAATTAATGATTAAGTTAAAAGCAGGCAGTGGGGACAGCAGACGTAAAGGGTCGAATGAGATAGCGCCACGTGTCGGGGGGAACGCGTCTTGGTAATTGCGACATACGCGGCATGTTATTGGGAAGCATAAAAAAGTCGTGTCAACGCGACAATGATCCTCATCATCATCTCACTCTTCTCTTCTCTTCTCCCTTCCCTTCTTTCCCCACCTCTTCGACTCTCCTCTTCTTACCCTCTCCCATTGCGTGACCCAAAAATAAATATTCATATATACTACACTACGTGGCCTCACCCTTAACTAAATCCCTATATAAACCCTTTCCTTCACTCCATTTTTATTATGACGGGCAAAGAAATTTTCCATAAGATGAAGGTATCATCACCCCTTCTTCCATTTTTCCTCTTCACTTCATTCTCACTAGCTATTATTCTTGCCTTGCTTTAATTAAATTCTTGCATACTATGTTTTGTTTTAATTTTGTGCCTTCTTTGTCTTTGTGTCTTTGTGTCTTTGTGTGTGTGTGTGTGTGTTTTTTTTTTTTTTTTTTTTTTTTTTTTTTTTTTTTTTAATTTCTATTCATTTGTCGGTGTTGAATGTTGATCTTTATCGATTAGTTCAGTGTTGCTTGAATTTGATAAACCCCGTCATTTGATTTTTGCTTTTTATGGTATGTTTGCGTGCCTACACTTTCTTCATTGACTGTAACAGTGTCTTGTCACCATTTACCTTTCTGGATTCCAAATTCGGATCTACAGGGAAAAGACATGTTACTATGAGCATATTTAGATTCAATACTCTAAAAATCGCTTCTAAACTTGTATTTAAACACACACTGAATTCATAATTCATAATGTTACTTGCGTCATAGGTGATCATGAGTAATTCCAGGTTATGCCTCATGCATACAATTTATATCAACATTGGGGCTTTAATTAAGTGGTCGAAGTTCGAATTTTGAATCTGCCCACCCAAGGAGATATCTAACTCTTCGGTCTTTAATTTCCGAAGAAGTTTAGTTCCAGGATATTCCTTGTAATGCAACAAAAAAGATGTCAACATCTACCTGAAGATTTATTCCAGAACCAAAACTACTTGATTAAATAGCCTACAATATTTTTTGGGGGCTCCATTTTTATACCTAAACTAAACTCATTGAGGTTTATTTTCGTTGCTTATTTGAATAGCCCCACTATATATGTAGGTTTATGTGAGTGCTTTGTTCCTAGACCTAAATGTATATCATTAAGGCACATATGTTACTTGACATTAATCCGTGATTTTCTTTAAAATTGAATATCACAGAAGATATTTGAGTATTTTGCTCAAGACAAGTTGAAAAATCGATTGTGCTGTAGTGTGTGAATGGTCATATTTGAGGTGATAAATTGGTTGATTGATGGAGATGGTTGGGAGGTTACTGGTGACAAAAATATCAATTTTTATGTGGTCAGCAACTTCAGAATCAAATGCTCCTTCGTGACTGTTAGAGGGTGAATCACGGGTTCAATACCCATTTGCACAAGTGTGTGTTTTTGACCATAGATGCACAGATTGAATGGAAAAAGTCGATTATACCCCTTATGAAGGGTGAGTTGCCTTTAGTATCATCTGATGAGACGACAGTTGTTAATTCTTTCCAGCTAGCTGCAATATTAATCAACCAGATTTACGCTATGCTAGGTGCTTAAAAGCAAGATGGTCCCTGATGAGTTGAGAAATGCAGTTTTTTTGTTTGCTTCTAGTTAGGTGTTGCTTTATAGACAACTACATTGAAGGGTAAACTATATATGATTTGGAGATGAATAAAATGAAATATGACTATATAAGACTTAGGTAAATGGAGGCTGTGACTGACAAGTGCAAAGGTCAGAAAATGTAAAATCACAACATAATTATAATGATTGATTGCGTTTTACAATTCCAGACATTGTTTGTTTGCAAAAGAATATTTAATTTCACTTTTGAATTCCTTGGGAAATGATGCCCTTAGCTACTAATTTTGTAACACACCAGATTGTCTCTGATAAGTTACCAATGGCACAAAGCTTCAAGAAATTCAACTTGGTTAGATAAATTGCCTATGTTTGTGCTTTGTGGAGTAGACTAGTTCAGAAGTTTTCACTCAAATATTTCTTCCAGATCCGATTCTCATTGCATCAATGACTCAATTTTCTGAATTTTTCTTTTTGACTGTCATTGTGACATGATTATGTTGCTTGCAGGAAAAGGTTTTGGGTTTATCTGATGCTGATTCAGGTAAAGGAAAGAGCAAGATGAAGAAGCACATAACACATGGCTTTCACTTGGTAAAGGGAAGAGCAGGTCATGCCATGGAAGACTATCTTGTTGCTCAATTTAAGCAAGTTGATAACAATGAGTTGGGTTTATTTGCAATATTTGATGGTCACTCAGGTCACAGTGTACCTGATTACTTGAAGTCTCATTTGTTTGATAATATCTTGAAAGAGGTAATGAGGGTTCCTAATCTTTTCTGGTTACATTCGAGTCTTCAGGCAGATAATTAGGACCTCAAAATCTTAATTGAAAAGTAACAATGTCAGTGCTAGTTGATTGAATTTGATTTCTGTGTAATAGGTATTCAAATAAAATAGAAACAGAATATTTTTGCATGTTATCATAAGTTTTTGTTTTTTCTATTTCCGTTTCTTCTCTACACTTGTTAGTATATTCTTCCTGGCTGTTCTTGTTTTCTTTTGGCTTTGCATTTCTGTCCCTTTTGTAAGTCTTTTTTAGATTTAGTTTGAGGTGGGGAACAACTTTTTACATTGTCATCCAATAGTAAATTGTATGTATGATACTATTGCTGACTTTTGTAATATTTACTTTAAAAGTAATATCTACTGTGATTTTTTTTAATCTGTTAGAATCGAACTCGATACTACACGAGTTTACAATAACACGGCGCTCTATTCAACATATTGAGCTACACTTTCTTGATATCTAGTGTGATTTCTAATTGGTTATTTAAGTCAAAAAAATATATTGCATTGACAATGTGTGAAAATTTAACTCTTAAAATACAATGCACGTCTATAACTCTTGTTTTCCCTCATTTCTGTATGTAGCCTAACTTCTGGACAGAACCTGCTGATGCTGTCATGAGAGCATATCGTAAAACTGATTCTACTATTTTAGAAAAATCAGGTGAACTAGGTAGAGGAGGTTCAACTGCAGTTACAGCAATATTGATCAACTGTCAGGAGCTAGTGGTGGCCAATATTGGGGATTCTCGGGCTGTCTTATGCAAGAATGGCGTGGCCAAACAACTATCAGTGGATCATGAACCAAGCGTAGAAAGTGAGGATATAAAAAATAGAGGTGGTTTTGTGTCAAACTTCCCAGGTATGACATTTTAAAATGTAAAATAATCTTGCATTGATCTTGATTAAGTGTTGCACAATGTCATCATGTTATGGGTGTTTATTGTTTAATTATGATTCTGTTAGCATATGGTTCTTAATGTTTTTTCTTAACTTGTTCATATTAGAGGTTAATATGCTTTTGGTCTCTTTAAGAAATGTTCCCTTCTAGTCCCTTGAAAAACAATAGTGTTCCTTTTGTCTATTGTTTATGGAAATGTATCAGGTATAGTATGGTCTTTAATCCTTCACAGAAAGTCATCTCTTTTGTGTCCCTTGTTTTTGGAAATAGAGAAAAAAAACACATGACACATTCCTATAAATAAAGGACAAAAGGAAAGGAATTTTTTTTTTTTAATGACTAAAAGAGAAGAGAATATTACTGTGCATGTTTAGATAAATCTTTTAAGAACCACTCGTAGGAGAGAAAATTAAGAAAGAAAAACGAAATAAGCTTCTCCATAAGCTAATTTGTAAAAATTCTCTTATTAGTTTATCCAAAATCTTATTTTTAACTCTTGTCTACGTTAATTTTAGTTTATGGAGAAACTAATTTTGATTTTTCATCCATTTTTCTCTTTTAAAAGTACTTCTTGAAAAGCCTATTCATTTATGCATATATTCATATAGACTCAACATATTGGTCTTATTATTAAAAAAAAAATAGCTCATTACTGAAATAGGATTCTAAGATACTGTTTTTGTGATCAATTTAGGGGACGTTCCACGTGTTGATGGTCAGTTGGCAGTGTCAAGGGCATTTGGCGACAAAAGCCTGAAGAAACACTTGAGCTCAGAACCATATGTGACTGTGGAGATAATAGATGATGATGCAGAGTATATTATATTAGCCAGTGATGGGTTATGGAAGGTAACATTTGATAAAATGAAGTATGATACAGTCACCTAATGGATGTGTCTTTTGTTCTTTTATTAAACACTCAGAAGATGCATGCATATTCTGCAGTAATCACTTCTGTTTATTGAAATTATTATAGGTAATGTCAAATCAAGAAGCAGTAGATGCAATCAAGGATATAAAGGATGCTAGGTCTGCAGCAAAGTTCCTTACTGAAGAAGCACTTAAAAGGAAAAGCTCAGATGATATATCTTGCGTTGTTGTGAAATTTCAGTGATCACTGAACTCAAATAGTGGATTTATATCTACGAACTTGGAAGTGTAACATACTTTAGTATATATGGATAAATGTTGATACCCTTTAGGTGTTATTAAGTCATGGCATTCACTGTGTGATATTTTATCTGCTTTCATACAAATCAATTGTGTGAGAACCTGTTGTTTTATGTGACAATGTAAGAAAAAAAACAATTGTTTTGTATTGTGGAGACCAAAATAATTTGTATGGGTGCAAGGAAGTCTGTTTAATCTCTATCATGCTGAATAAGCCTTTTACAAATTCTGCTTAGCCTTTAATTTCTTTTAGACCATGTGCTTGTGCCTTTGAAACACCTATGCTTGTATTTTGATATTTGTCATCGAAAGTATTTGGTGTTAGACGACAACTCTTATAAAAATAAAGAAAAGAAAAGAAGTGACAGCACCAACTACTACAAAACTTAACTGTATATCCTTTTTTTCTTTGTTTTTTGTTGTTAGCGGGCGTGAGATGAAGCATAATTTGTTGATGAATCATTGAAAAGAAATTGAGGCTAAGAGTTAAACATTTACACTTCCACCAGTTAATAAAATTCTGGATAATATGAAATTAACTAATTAAATTATTTTATATTGTTTTTTTAATTATGTATATTGAATTTTATATTAATGGGATATTGTTAGGAATAAGTTATTAAATTTTATATTAATTGGATATTGTTAGGAATAAGTTATTAAATAATGAACATTTACTTATATTTATTTTAGTTTATAAATAACTTTATTCTTTAAAATAAAGTATTAACGAAACATTGTTTTGATATACATGAAATTTATAAACTGCATATAATTTAAATATTTTTTATTTAATAGTTATATTATTTAACTATGTGTTGTAAAAACAAATAAGTTAATAATATTAAGTAAGTTAAATTATACTTTTGATTTCTCTTTTTTTTTTTTTATTAAAATGTTCATTTAAATCTTTTATTTTTTATATTTGAATCAATTTGATCCTTTTAAAATAATAATAATTTTTAATTTTATGATATAATTTTGAATTAACATTTTACTAATTCGACACATGAAACTTATAATAATATATTTAATTAAATAAAAATTATAAAATTTAATTGATGCTTAAATTTATAAGAACTATAACATAATAAAAATTGTGTGAAAATGTGTTTTATAAGTAACTAGTATAATTTTTAAATTTTTAATTATTATTTTTATTTTTATACTTTTTACTATATTTGTAATACTTTTTTTTTATTTAAACTTTATTTGCATTCAACAATTTTCATATAAGTGAATATAATGAAATGAATTTTAAGTCTTATAGTAAAAAAAATTCAAAATCATATTTCAAAATTGAAAATAATCATTGTTTCACAAGGACTAAATTATTTCAAATTTAAGCGATAAAAAAATCATAATAAACATTTTAAAAGATAAAAATAAACATTTTAAAAGATAAAAATTATAAAATTTAATTGATGCTTAAATTTATAAGAACTATAACATAATAAAAATTGTGTGAAAATGTGTTTCATAAGTAACTAGTATAATTTTTAAATTTTCAATTATTTTTTTTTATTTTTATACGATTTTTACTATATTTGTAATACTTTTTTTATTTAAACTTTATTTGTATTCAACAATTTTCATATAAGTGAATCTAATGAAACGAATTTTAAGTTTTATAGTAAAAAAAATTCAAAATCATATTTCAAAATTGAAAATAATCATTGTTTCAAAAGGACTAAATTAATTCAAATTTAAGAGATAAAAAATCATAATAAACATTTTAAAAGATAAAAAATCAAAATAAATTTAACAAATAAGATATAAAAAAATTAGTCTAAAGATAAAAATTTTACATCTAATATCAATAGACATATAGAAAGTGCACCAATTATGTAAAATTTTAGCTAGAATGTGAGTTAGATTTAGGTGTATAAGTGAGTATAAATAACATGTGAACCCAAATTAATTGAAATCGGGACTTCAAATCAGATTTTTTTTTAATATTCAAGTCAAACTCAACTCAATTTGATCAAAACTCGTCATTATACGGGTTAGATAATGAGCTCTGTGTTTTTTAATTCATGACCTAACTCAACCTGATCATATAATAATGATAATAATAATAATAATAGTATATAATAATAATAATAATAATAATAATAATAATAATAAGTTAGTGTTTAAATAATCACTTACTTAAGACAATATTCCCTATTACTTTTGCTCAATAACGAATTTTGTATTTTTGAATTGATAGCATTATAATAATAAAAATTTATTTTAAATTTTATTTTATGTTAATGTTGGTTGTTTGAGTTAATAATAATATAATAAATCAACAAATTTATTTTGAAATTCAGTTTGTATCATTACTTGTTTCATGGATTGATAACATTGTATTTAAAACAAGATATAAAATAATTTATATCTATTATGAAATATTTAAATTTTTACAAAAATAGATAAATTTAATTATGTTGACCCGATTAACTCAACTTAATCTAACTCGTCAAAATTTTTTCTTTTTTTATTTTGTTGCAACTGGGCGTGGGATAATTAATGATATTATATATAAAGTAAGTAATGACTCGATATAATAATAATTTATAATTTTCCTTTATTACTAGTAATATTTAAGAAGTATCTGATTTTAATTTGAGTTTGCATTTTATAGCTATATATTTTTTATGTTTTATAAACTATACACGCATATATAACAAGATTAATTGACATCTGTTGTCAATTTTTTTTACTTTATATTATTTAATAACTTGATATAGAATATAAAATTAATCCATCCAATTATTAATTTATAAATATTATCTTTCTTTTCATGCATATCAAATTTTATATAATTTACTACATTATTTTATATATATATATATATGAAATAATATATTACACGCTAACATAAAACCATAAGAAGAATTATTTGCTTCTAATTTCTAGTTTGTATGAAATTTTATAAATTTAATAAAAAAAAATTAGTTTAACAATTAAAGTACTTAATTTCGTATTCTATAGAAGATTATTAAATTGGTGTGTAAAAGTTTGAGATTTGGTGTCAATTGACATGTGTGTATGTCGTATGTTTACTGTGCATTATAGTTTTTTTTTTTTTTTTTTCACTTCTCCCTCTTCCACTGGCCTGCATGCCGTCTCTGAAACCCTTTCTGAGTTATACTGGAAACGATTATGGTAATCGTATTATTATGACAAAGTATTAATTTACAAGAAAATAGAAATATAATGTAGCTTATTAGCTCTACATAAACCCATAATAGATTTTTTTATTTTATAAAATAGTATCTTTTTGAGTAATTAGTTTGAGTTTCAAAAAGAATCTAGCCCCCAATGGGGTAGTTCATTAGGATACATAGGATTGAAGAGGAATAAAAATAAGAAGAAATAACTGAAATACATACATGAATACCCAAAAGAAGTAATAGCTTTTTATTCTAATACAATGGAAGATAAGAGCACACCACTGAAGGTTGCTTTAATAGGATAACAATGGTAAGGCAAACATAAAGAAACCAAAGGCACTCTCTAAATAACACAACATAAAGCTCATGAAACTAGCTTACGTTGCATTAGACACCAGCTTTGGATGTTGGAAGTTGTGTGAGTTTGATTCTTGTTCAAGTGAACATACAAAGTGATCTTTATTACATGCCTTGGCTTGTAAGAAACCAAAGGGTGACAGAAGAGAGAGAGCTTGGTGGAACAATTTGGCTTTGGCTTCATCTGATGTTGAAAGACTTGTAGCCAGAACTCCCTGGTAGGTTCATCTGAATTCTCCCCCTCTCATCAACTAGCCTGCAGTGTGTTGTGTCCTTAGGGTGGTGCTGACCTTTGCTGCCCTCATTGCCAACTTCAGGATTGCTTTTCCGGCGCCGCTCGTTGTGTCCGGCAAGCCGCCGGCGGCAGCTTCTCTTAGCTTCATCAAACTCCCCAAGGTCATGGAACCTGCACTCACTCATCATAGAGTTCTTAAAAAAAAATGGAGCTTTGAACTTGAAGTTTAAAAAAGTACTTAACATTTCTTGGAAAAAAAATACTAACAAGGAAAGGAAAGTGCAAGAAGGTATCAAGAATAAAGTTTAATTACTTATTAGTGTTTCTGTTATATGCATAGATCATGTTTCCTTACTCCTTTGTCATAATTTTCTTATGATCATCCAAATTTTTATAGTCATTGATCAAGGCATATTTTTTGTGAGTAGTCCATAGAAGGTTTTATATTACAGTTAGAGATGAGATTTAGTTGCAATCTTTGATATTGCATGAAATTACAGACAAATGTGGCAATAGGCCACAATTATGGTTGCAATGAGATCACATAGAGTCCAAAACTATGATGTTGTAGCCAAAATCACGGTTTTTAAAACCTTAGACTCCGTTCTTAGTTGAAGTTTATAGGCAATGCTTGTTTTCTTAAACTAATCTCTTGAGATACTAAGATTTATTTAAGAGAAAGTTATCTATCAACTATGTCACATTTGTTTATAATTATAGACGGTTCGTAATTATAGAGGACACTGTTGATAGTGGTATACAAAAAGTATAGTTGTTAGTTTCAAGAGCAGATGAATTAAAATAAGAAAATAGTACATCATGATCAAGTCTAGCATGCATAGTAAGATGGTGAAGAAAGAAGAAATTAACTCTTAAGAGAAAAGTGCTGAAGATGAGTTGAACAAACCTGCTACATTGCTGGCAAAACCTCTGCCTTAGCCCTGCAACCACCACAACAGGTGCCTTGGAATGAAACTCACACACCTTGTGGCGGCGATGGTACCTCTTTGCATCACTCAAATCAGCACCACACCTCTCTGCTTGACATGAAGGTGGAGAAACCCCTCCACCACCCCCACTTGACCCTCTTCTCCCACTAACACTACTACTACTAACCCCTTTTTTCTTCTCTTCTTCTGTGAGACTAACACCACTTTCATCCTCCTCTTCTACTTCATTCTCCACTTCCTCTTCCACTGTGCTATTCTTTCTCACCTTCTCAACCAAGGCTCTCTTCTTCTCCACACTCTTGGCCTCCATTGTGACAAAAGGGTGGTGATGGTTACAATGATGAATGAGCAAGTGAACTTGTTGAGCCTGGACTTTTTGGAGCAATGAAGTGAAAGAGGGAATTTATATGAAGCATAAGGAGGTGCAAAGGGTGTGGACCACAGGCTCCATTTTGTTAATTGTGCCCTTTTGTTAGCATAAAGGTGGAGGAATAACCGACAAACAAATGAATCAAATGGTACGAGGTTCTTCCAACTTAACCAATAGTCTTGAGTTCAAGTTTTGTGTATGCAATTGTTTTAAACTCTTTGAAGAAAAAAAAATTATCATCTAGAGTCGTTCTACCTAATTCAAACAAGATTGTTTTTAACGGATGATACATATTGTCTATAAAATAAAAAATAAATTAAGGTAATGAAATAGTGTATAGAAAAAGATCTTGGAGATGGGTTTTGTCTTTAATGATAAGCTAATAGAGGAAAAGGTTAAATCACAATCTTGCAGTAAAGTGGGAGCTGGGAAGTGGGTATTGATTTTGAATGAATGCTGTGTTGAAAGTGATAGTGCTGATGCGCGTCCATGATAAACGCTTCACTGTTGGTACTCAAGGAATTACAAATTGGAAGAAGAGGATTTTGCTTTTGTTTGTTCTTGTTATTTTTTTGTTGTTGTGATTTCTGTTACGATTCAGACCAAGGACCCATGCCATATGCGTAGCCATACCTTGCTTACAATCCCTTCTAATTACAAAATAATAGTAATAAATTAATGTGACTTTCTACAGATTTTGAAAATTTAATATAATAATTTAATAACATGCACATAGTGCAAAAGACTTCCCATATCATCATCTAATTATGTATTTTACTTGTAATAATTTCTAATTGGTTAATAGTATAATTTTTTTATATTAATCTAAACTCTTTAAACAAGGAAAAAGAATAGTAACAAGGCTAGTGTGTGGACTTTTCCAAAAAGCAGGCTTGATATACAAAGAAAGATTCCAACAAGAATCATAATTCATGGAGCAACCCTTGCTTCACAACTAATCTAAAGAAGAAAATTATCAACTCTTATTTTTCACTGACAATTACATGCAGTAGGTACGGGAGTAACATAAGTAAAGATTTTGGGTGGAATTAGGTAGTTCTTGTCTCTGTCTCTGCTATGGTTACCTTTACTCACTATAGCAGTAAGATTAAGCATTAATTTATATGCAGAGTGAGAGCCACTGGTTCGTTGCATTTTACATCCTAGCCCGTAGTATATAAACTAAAGTACTCATATAGCACTAGCCTAGGCTAGCCTCAAGAGAGTAGAGACATCAAATTTTTCATATGAAGAAGAAAATTCACCTTCACAACATAAATGAGTAGCAGCAAACTGTTCAATTCCCTAGTCCTTAGTCTTTCCAATTTAATTCTGCTCTAACTTCATCTTGAATTTGCCCCTAGCATGATTTTTGTTGCATCTTTTGACAGTAATTGATCATGCATGCTTATGCAGTTAAATTTTTGAGTTGTTTGAAATTGTGAAAATTAATATTCTGATAGAATCTTTGTGTTATAAATGATATCAAGTTGCAATAGTACTATTATGGCCACAACATGTGGTGCTGACATGACCTAGCACGCTAGTACCGTGGTTTCACAAGATGCCATTGTACTCAGTACTTGATGCGAGTTTTCACCATGGACGGTATCTAGATATAGCGGACAAAAACAAACGGTTCTACCTTATCTACGTTCAATCATTGAGGACCTGGCTTCTTATAACACACCTTTGCATTCACTTTTTATTATTTAATGAACTTACTATATTTCTCCGCCAAAAATCTAAGACTAATTTTCTTAAGTACAAATATTTATTTAAAAAGTCGATTTCTTCTAACTAGTATCTTTTTGTATACATAAATTTTAAAAAAAACAAACATCATATCACATATTTAAACCTATCATTTATGTTTGGAACATTGTTATATTGAGATAAATTTTCACTTTGAACGTAAAACCAAGTAACTAATAAGAGATCAAGTTATTTGTTAACTATGTCTCACCATATTATGTTAGTTCAACCTTAGTCCAATATGCATAATTCAGATTAAGTAAGAAATGCTTTGTGCCTTTCTTAGGTAGGATCACTGGTGGCAACTCAGAGAACCTGGAAGAGCTAAGGTTAATTAGGACCTAGGCTAACATATTAAATAAGTTGGTAATCCTTATTTCATGCACGTGATACTAGTAATCGTCCTTGTGGACCCATTTAAGTTAAAGTTTTTGTATTGTCTATCTTTTTTATGTGGAATATTATATGTTACGAAAAATATGTACGAAATCAAGTACCAAATAAGTTGTTTGCTTTCTATTGTTTGAAGATTAAATTAATAAAAAAAAAAAGGACTAACAGAAATCATACAGTAAGGAGTATCAATGGTATACAGTTTTCATCACTTTTGAGCAAAACAAATTCGTACTGTAAGCAATTTTCTTCTTCTTCTTCTTCTTTTTTTCTTTCACGTAACTAAAACCCAAAATTTTAAGAAGAAACCAAGATTCTTGCGCACTAGAAGCAACAGGCTTTGGTTTCTCATAACCTTTTCAAATCCTTTATTTTCCTTACATGTTTTATTTAGGCAATGCTTTTATAGAAAATTTTAAAAATTTCTACCTGTTCGATGTTGGAAATTGATTTTGAATGATGGGGGGAAAGAATAGACTATTTCTGATTTGATAGCATTTAATTGACCATCATAAAAAAATACTTTAACTAAGAATATACTGCACGAGTTCTGGTTAGTAAGCTACATGACAAGAAATTTAATACTCTACCTTAATTAGAAAATTTCTTTTTATCAATTTTTTAACCACAGAAGTTAATACAAGAAAAAGATAATTACAACAACATATGTTTTCAGTTCTCACCCTTTAAGCTTGAAAAATCACATTCATAACTAATAATGACTAGAAAGTTCTAGCATCCCTTCTAGTAATGCGATTTTCCATGTTATTTGGTATATAATAGATGAATAGATGATACACATGATTAAGGTGAAAAGTGAAAAAAGACATGTAATAACTCAAAATTTGAATGATGCAAATGAATTTTGAGAGGCATATATGATGCTTGGCCATAAATGTACAACCTTCCGTATTATACATGCACCTGAATTTTGTATTTGTTTCATTTTCTTCTTTCCTTTGTGGCCCATGAGAATCAGAATTTCACACCTCACACATGCTTCACCAAAAAATCATGCCCATCACTCTCATTATATATTGACTTGGGTTTGGTCCCCCACTGCCCTTCCTTTTATTCTTCTTTGTTTATGTGTTGTGCATGCACCATTCCAATAAAGCCTTGCTAGCTAGCCCATTAGCACCAGTTATGAGTTCCACACGCACAAGGTAGTGGAGCAGAGAAATGTGCATATTATATACTGTTTCAAAAGTTCTTTTTTTGTGTTCTCTTTCTCTTTGGTTGAATCCAGATATCTCCTCAAACTAACCCTTTCGGATACTGAAATTTTGAGTTTTGATTCGAGATACTGAAATTCATTTAACTAATCCTTCAATCAAAAACTAATCCTTCGGCATATTTAGAGTTTAGAATTCGAGTTACTGAAATTCATTTAATTAATCCTTCAGCATACTGAGATTTAGAGTTTAGAATTTAAGATACTAAAATTTATTTTAAAAAATTATATTTTATGATCATGATTCTAAATTGTGGTTGCGATATCGTCTTTAATAGAAAAAATTACATAAAAAAGTGGTCGATATGATCATAATACATTTATGTGGTATCGTTGTCTTTTATATAATTCTTGACATTTAGGAGAATTGCAAAAGAATACAACTAGTAAAATCGTAAAGTATTTGAAGTGAGTTGAAATTTGTTTAAATGATGATTATAGTTATAAACCATAAATTAAAATTATCTTCACAATACAATTTTTTTATATATATATACATAGATATATGGATATTGAAGCCTAACTACTTGTCTAATTAAGAACATAATTATTTGTCAAATATGGCATCACATAGATTGTGTTTTCTACAACAATGTGTGGGACAGTTGTGAAGAATTTCATATGATATGAATAGACAAAAGTAAGAGGCAACTCTTGTAGTGCTAGAGAATTCTTGTTGCTAAAGAATGATAGTGCATACAGCTACACGGTTGATAAGATAAGAGGAATATCAATCATGATCTGATTTAAGAGCATGAAAATTGATGTTGGTCCCCAAGGTTTGGCAATGGCAACCCATGAATAAAGCCCCAAGTCATAGACTTGTTTTCACGGCACACTTATGTGGCATATATGTTGAAGTTGCCTTTGTGTCTTCTTCACAAACACATAAAACCTACCCATTGGCTCTTTCCACACATGCTTTTCTCTGATTTATCATGGCTTGTCGTTTTTGCTGTGCCACTTTAACAGAGGATTTAGGGTAAGAAACAGACATAGGTATCAGATTCTGTTGAAGTGTCACACACATAAGTCTAAGAGAATGATAATTGACTTGTTTTTGTTAGGATCATCATACCCGTGCCAAGTTGAGTCTCCGAATCTGTTTGCTCTGTTTTGATTTAATTATATATTATTAGATTATAGGTGGGTTCGAGTTAAAAGATCTAGAACCAGCTAGATTGATTTAGTAAAAGTGATAGATGAAAATGATACATATATAGACACGTTGCATTAGATAATTCCAATTTATGTATAACATTTTAATCACTATGGCTTACAATTATAATGGCTCTTGGAGTTGGATGCAAGTATTGCTATTTGCAGCGAGAAGTTGATGTAGCTATATTTAAGTTATACCATCTTCTAAAAACAAAAAAGTTATATGATGGAGAAATCTAAATATACTACTAGTATAACTTAGAACAAATATTATATTAACAATGATTTCATATATATAAAGTGAACTTTATTGATGTAACCATTGAATTGTAAGAAATATTTAATCTAAATTTATAATATTAATTTTTTAATTTTCTTAAAATTAATTAAACAATAGTAAAAAATGATAAAAATGAATCATATTTTTTTGACACCCTATTTTTGTATATTCGAAAAATATATATTACATAAATTTTAGTATATATAAATAAGGTATAAAATTATTTT